AGGCAATATAATCCTCGTCATCCGGGCAGTTGATTAGGGCGGTCGTCAACGGGCCGCAGCGCGTGCCAGGAACTATTTGCTTTTTCCAGGCTAATTTAGTCATTTTTTCCAACTTTTCACTGTTTTGGCTACTTTTTCCCAGATTAGCAGCTCCTTATCTTCACAAGGTGAAAAAAATGACTAAATTAGTCTGGAAAAAGCAAATAGTTCCTGGCACGCGCTGCGGCCCGTTGACGACCGCCCTAATCAACTGCCCGGATGACGAGGGTACAGGGGGGGGGCAAAAAAAGTCACTTTTCTTCATTGACTTTCGTGGCGCTATAAGTTACACTTTATAAATTCTAATCGGACATTTCTACCACCATATTAAAGAGCATATTAAATACTATTGACGAAACTTCCGCCACAGCCTTCTGGACGAGCGCCATCGAGAGATTCTGGCACGCGACCGCGATGTGGTGCCTGAGATCAGCGAGATAGTCGATTTCTCCGCCACCGTAGACCACCCTATTGAACTCCGCCCGAACCGGGTAATTGAGGGGATTCAGGTCAGGTGACCTACTTGGATATTCCATCTTCTTTAGGTACTCAGCCCCTTTCCATTCCAGGTAGGCGAGAGTTTTCTCACAACGGCCCCTTCTATTCGGCACGTGTCACGCCCGACAATGCTGTAGGCATACAAAGTATCTAATGAAGGAGGGCGGCGACATGTGGGGAGGATATTCTTCTCGAGTTGCCCGATGTAACCCGCCAGCGCTCACCTTCAGTCCGGGTCCACGAAGAAAATATTGGTCTTTCCATTCCAGGTACGTCCGGTCCATACCATCAACCCGCTCCTTGACGACTGCGGTGAAGATGATGTCCTAGACCGTAGCGACGTTGTCGAAGCTGCTCGGATGTTGGAGTCTTCCAGATTGAGAGTACTAGTCTCCAGGTAGCTACCCATGGGTGACTCCACACTAGAAGTTTCGCAGCTGTTTGGAGGTGACATGAATTCCAAAGGTCTTCTCCAGTCAGGCTGCGACTGGAGATGACCTCATATTTTGGTGTACATGAGGTGAAGGGACGAGGGCCAGCACCTGCTATGCGAGGACATCTTTGGATCTTCCGTCCTGGTAACTCGTACCAATCTCTCTGCTGGCTGCAAAAACTTTGCTGATATGTGACTCGGTCGAAGTAACTTTTGCCTCCCCCTGTATATAGCGCTGGAGAAACGGAAAGAACGAACAACCAAAAAAATTTTTTTCACGGCTCGAAAATATTTCTCAAGGGGCGACATGCTCCCTCTTACCCCATGGAACAAGTGCAATCCCGCTTCCTGGTTCTCCAACGAATGGGGTCCGTCTCTGAATCTGCTGAAATAGAATCGTACCTGTTAGTGGTAATACAAAACCTTACCTAGTTCTCGTCTCTTACGTCGAGTACCTTCTACACGACTTCGAATTACTTCGGTATCGATGGTGTTCTCGGCTTTTGAGTAAACCACTAAAAATGGGCGAGCACTTCTTCACCAGCTCCACATAGCGACGCATTCTGATATCGCGACGGGAAATCTAAGAATTATAAGAGTATCCGTCAGTGAAATTGCACCTGTCGAAGGACAAATCTCCCCAATAGGGTCTCTAACATAACAACGACCATTCTTGTGCGGACTTGCAGCCTCGTTTGCTGCGGATGATCGGGCGTGTCAGGGGGGGGGGGTGGCAAGGCACCACACACTTCCGCCAGTTGGCTTCTGTTTCTCTCAGCGCAGGTTGACCGGTGGAGAGATGGCCTGGCGCCGAGCCCAAACCCCTCGAGCCTGAAACGGTCCAGCATCCAGCAGCGAGAAGAACCTTACATACCAGCGAAAACCCAGCAAAAACCCAAGTACTTCTAAGCAGTTGTAGTGATATCATAGTCGTACTGAACTCACCCTAACAACCAACTGAGAGGTATCCAATGCGTTTGCCTCCGCCAGTGGTTTGGTCGCATCCCAGACCACTTTTTCTGGTGTCACCTGGAATGAGATCCCGTACCCACTCTGTTGGAAACTGTAGGACAAGAGAGCGAATCAATAAATGCTCACCTTTATCGCTACAAGTTCTTGATTCTCAGTACAGTACTCGTTGACGCACAACGATTTCGCCCGAAGCTGCCTTGCACGGCCATGTTTCGTCGCATCGCGGCGCCGCAAGTAGAAGTGCAGCTCGCCAAGCATAATCTGTGAGTAGGATTTTGAATGTGAGCGATGGAATTTGGGTTTTGTAAATTAGTCCCATCACTGGAGGGTGCTGGTCAAGAGATACATGTTGCCGTTCGAAATGTTGTATTTGTCGTCACGCGCGCTGCGTTCGCACCAAGATCTTATTGATGATGCAAAAAAAACTGGAGATATCGACTTCGCTAGCCAGGAAATTTTAGCTAATTGGTGCACATGTTCTTGTCGTAGATTTCCTGACCTACCCAACTATGGTTCTGCTCGTTAGCCTAAAATCCACAAAAATGCCAAAATAAGGAAAAAAACAGGGATAAAGACGATAACAAACAGAAAAGTAACAAGAGTACTAGTAAAAATGATGATAGGCTTGTCTTTCAAAAGCTTACAGAAATACCCAACGATAGAACCCGCGAAGCCATTAATAAATGCTCTTGAGAGCGTACCAGTCAGGGTCACACTAGACCCCCTACAATTTTATATGAGGTTCACGTTCACGGCGCATCCCAAGACTTATTGATTGAAAAACAAATGGCTCTTCTCAAGGTGATTGAGCAAAGTTTCCTAAGCATCTCTTCACATAGAAATCATAGTGCGAAGAATAAACAGACCTGTTCCTTGTTTATACCAGAAATGTCGAAAATCAATACTTCGTGACCGTCTAGCTTCCCTGAAAAAATTACTAGCTACTAATTGCTTTGAAAATTTAAGTTCACATATTAGTCATTCGTCATTCTTTTAAGCTAAGCCTATCGGACTCTATCCAAAGACCAAACTAAATGCCTTCGGATTGTAACACCCCACCAATGTTTGGCGTTAGGCGCAGTTAATTAAGTTAGTCTTAAAAATACTAAAAATGCTCACCGAGTCCGGGATCGATTCCCCGAACGACATTGCCATCATCTGAACCATCGTCCTCTACAAATGTCTCGTAGATAGACTGCATTGTTGCGGCTGTTCCGATGAGATGCTCGGAAGGTTGGAGCTGTAGGAGTTAGGCTGCAAAATACTCCTGCAGTATTCTTCTCATAATAAGGGAAATAACATGGTCTGTTGAAGGCTGCAGAGCTTCCATTAAAATGCCTCTTGGCGCACCGGTGTGTGACTCTGAAGAAGTCGGATGTCGCTTTGGGGAATCTTTTGAAGAAGAACATAAGTGGCTGCGCCACCTCAGCGTGACTGCACTTCTCGATTGAGGGTGATATAGGTGACGAAACGACTCGCTCGCTCTCGCTCGCGCAGTGCATCTGGAGGTTCCGTACTTGGTCTCTCCGAGGGAAGTCTGGTGTTGCTTTGAGATGATTTTCCTGATTCCCCCCACCCCTCCTTCCCCTCAGTGCACTGCGTCCAGGACTCTACGATGACGGGTATACAAATGCTGTAGTGATTTGAAGTCGTTGCGTGAACATCTTCCACCCTTCCTGCCCAAGTCTTGTCATTTTTTTTCTTGGAAATTCAAAAAAAGCTTCTGAGGCGGACTGAAAAAATTCTGGGTAAAATTATTGAAAAAATTATTGCGGGAGCGGGAAGTAATCCAAACTTGGAGATGTATGTGGGCGTTCGGGGGTAAGAGATTCGCACTGGAAGAAGAACTCGGGGGAGAGGGTGGGGAAGGGGGAGGGGAGGGGGAAGCGCGGCCTGGGTGGCTGGTCGTTGACGCAACCATCTCACTAATTCCTATGCTGTATCCTGATAGACTATGCCTTTTTTGAAGAAGGCGTTCCGAGAAGAAATGGCTTAATAGTCATGCTGGGAGACGAGTTCACTACCTTTCTGAACATGGGACAAGCTGCAGGCGTTCTCGTTCCAGACGGACGCTATTATCACGTCAAAGGGAAAACCACCTTTCCCAAGGACAAAATTCGGTGGAAGTTGGGCTCAACACTCGGAAAATGGAGTCTCAATAGGGTCATAATATCATATCGCTTGGTCGGTGAAGAAATCACTTCCATCCAGTGAAGAACATGTGGATGGATTAGCCACCCCCCAACCTGTGGTCAAACTTCTTTCTGCGCTGATTGTGTAGGCGGAGCCACGCAGTTTATTGCACTCGCCTCCCTTGACCATTTTAGAAGGAGGCGTTCATCAATGTTACGGATATACGTACGTGTCTGAGAAAGTGCACCCATAGGATCATTTCGGCATTAAATCACACTTAGGCCGGCGACGGGGGCATTTTGCATTTTCGTTTTTCACTAGTTCCGGTTTACAAGTCTCACTCTGGTGAAACCTGTGAACTCTTGTGAAGCTGGAGCAAGCTCGTCAAGCCATCATGGTAAAACCTGTCAACTCAGAAAGGCTCTCTAGATGGGTCGACACGTCGATGGGAAGTAGCAAAAGTGCTAAATGCCCCCCGTCGCTAAACTGCCCCTAACACTTATTATGCCTTCTTTTGTTTCCTTACCATTTGGCAATTCTGTGAAGTCAAGAAGGTATCGTATCGTCTCCTGGAGGATATCGGTCGAGTCATCTTCTGTGGCAGCAAATGCGACAGCGCACGTGCTGCTCAGAAGCAGCAGCGCGATACGCATCTCTTTCGTGCTTTCTGCGGATTGTCTCAACTACTCTGAAATATAGTGGGTTATCACGAACTATAAATAAGTATGTGCAGATGAACCATTTCTCGAAAATGGGATATACATGTTACGTGCGCAAGCAACTGTTACCCAGTGGAGTTCGGATAATAGGCTTGGAGCGTCGGAGAAAAGCGGATAAGAGGGACGACTGGAGAAAAA